ATGCACCTAACTGCAAATGTTAAATACATTATTAATAATATTCTCTTCATTTCCCCTCCTTTAAATTACTGGCATACTTAATATCCTAAATCTAGTTTAATGGAGTTTGCCTGGGGAAAAGGACTGCATTGCATACAACTATTAAAAGAATACAAATTCAGTACCTTTTTCACCAGAGGAAAAATAAAAATCAGTTTTCAAACTAAAAGCCAGAATTTACAGCAGACAGATGAGATAACATAAAGGGACAAACTGCTTATGCTCTTTAGAAGCAAATATAATGGGGAAAAGTTAGCCATTTAGATTAATTGGCCCATTTATCATGAACAATGCTCCCTACACTTGTAAATAGCTACAACTGCTAATCCCTGGGGGCTGGCATTAAACACATAAATGTGCATCAACATTTAGCAAAATACACTAACTATAACTAAGATCAAAAGAGTTCATTCATGAATGGGGAAAACCCTAAATGTTCACAAAAGACACTCTTGCAAATTAATTCTTTTAAAAGCTTTTTCCCCCCAGGAAAACATAGAATGGTTTCTACTGTGCCAAAAATCCAGGATTTGGGGAGAATTATTGGCTGCAGTTTTAGCTATAACATGGAGCTTTGACAAGAAAGGTCTCTGAAGAATTATTGTTTGCCACTTCCTTAAAATAGCAACTTATCTCTTTCAGACACTGAATACACACACTCAGGATGGAAGGTTTGGGAGTCACAGAGGAGGGCAGGTGTAAAAGCAATTTAGGGAGGTAAGAAAAAGCACATCCCATAATTTGAGGAACTGGTATTTTAAAAAAACTTTATCCACTTCAGGCACAATGGGGAATGTTGTTTAAAAAGAGATGGAGTTAGAAGTGTTCATGTGTCATTTCAAGAGTGTGTTTCCTTTTTACACAACACCCCCGTGAAAATAGCTGGATACTCCTATTTATATGACCTGAAAATAAAATCTATCATTGAATAGTGTCATTTCTCCCACTGTCCTAATGACCTGAGGAAGCAGACTGTCAATATGGAAAACTACAGGCAGTCTCACATTTTAATGGCATAGTAATCAGGAGATAATGAGACTTCGTTAACACATTTCACCTCTGGTTTTCTTGACAAAGGGTAAAAGTCTTGTTGCATCAACTGCTGGTGAAAACATGTTGGTGTTTTCAACCAGAGGCTTGCAATTTTCCATAAATACAATTTTTTCTGCCAAAGTTTACAGATGCCCCAAAACTTTTTTGTTTTTGAAAGTCCTTGCTACAAATTCACACAAGCCCATGGCTTCTACGCCCCATCCTCTGAAGGGAGCCGAGCCTCGCCTGGCACCTGCTCTCCAAACATGACCCAGTTTTATGAGGGTGCCGCCACTGATTACACTGAAATCTGGTTTACATCCTGGCTCCAGTAATAAATTGACTGGCCGGCTGGCAAACCGCCTTCTACCTTGGCAGGGGTTGAGCGCCGTCTGCTAGACCCGCTCTGGCATCTCAGATAAGCTGCCTGTAGTGTGACACACAGTCGAGTCTGCAGTGCTCCAAAGCCCCGATTCCTGATTGATTCTGATTGGGAAAGCCCCAGACTCTACTGCTGCCTGGTGTATGGACAGTTCATTAGGGGGCAGCAGGACCCAGCATGAGACAGGTGGGCTACAGGTAGGCGTCCCTGCAGTGAGCGCATGGGAGACAAGCTCACAAGTGGAAAGAGCAATAAAAAGGTATCCCTGGCCTTCTCCCAGCTACCAAACCATCACACAGCTCCCTGATGACAAGGGTCTCCAACCTGACCCCACTGGCCAGCTGCTAAATCCTCCCACAGGATCCCCAAATCATTGTAAAACCAATGGTATATTGTGCACAGAGATGAGCCAATTGTGGATTTGTCACCTCCCTAAGTATAGGAGCCCTGCACTTCAATGGATCCTAGCTCCTTTCAGGTCTGCTCTACACTATGAAATTTGCTGTGCCTGAACATGGCTGGCTGCAATCATGTTAGCTAACCCAGGACTAAACATCAGAAGTGAGCGTAGATGAGGCAAACCAGGCTGAGCATCTTCTCAGGTACATGAGAACAGGTCAGACTGCCTCTAAGCCACGCACTGAATCCAACACACTGCAGCACTTCTTAATGAACTAGAGAAAGAATGCCTAAGGTTTCTGAAAGTGACCAGTGATTATGAGTGCCTTGATTTTTTGGATGCCGAACTTGAGATACCTTAAAAGCATCTGATTTTCGGAGTGTGAGTACTCAGCACTTTCTGAAAGTCAGGCCCCTTTGAAGTGTTTCAAATTGGGCAGCCAAAAAATGAGGCTTCCAAAAATCACTAGTCACTTCTGAAAATCTTGGCCTTATGCTTTTGTTCATCATGTTTCGTCCTCATCCTCACTTGCTGCTTAATCATGCTCAACATGGGTCAGCTAATATCATTGCGAACAATCATGTTCAGACAGTCAAATTCAATCGTGTAGAGACGGCCTCAAACAGGTCAGTAATAACAAAAGTTTATGCTGCTAGCTTGCTAATTAGTATGGTTGTTAACTGTCCAGGTTGGGGCTTGAGCAATAAGCAAAAAATCTATCCTCATAAAAAATAAAAAGTAACATAAATGCAACCAGGTAGCAATTCTGGCAAACAGTGTGCCAAAGTAACCAACTGCCCTGGCAGAAGTGACGAGTCTTGGCAAAAGCCAGCAGGAAGCCACGACACTGAAAGGTAAAACAAACTATGAAAGGAGATTCAGATTCAGGTGGTGCTTGGAGCATAGGCACAGTTTGACTTCTATACTGGGGGGGCAAGGGGGAGGAAATTCCAACAAGGCTGTGCATGGGGGGCGGGGGGAAGAAATTCCATGTCTGCCCGAGACTTGCAGTTGGGGGGGGTGTCAATGCCCCCCTGACCCTCCCCAAAACTACACCCATAGCTTGGAGCTAAGCTGCGTTGTAGGACACTAATAACTCCAGACACTAAGAAGAGTTCTGTGGAGCTTGAAAGCTTGTCTCCCTCACCAACAGAAGTTGGTCCAATAAAGGATATTACCTCCCGCACCGTGTCTCTCTAATACCCTGGGACCAGCACAGCCACAACAACACCGCAACCAACTAGTAACTCCCACCTATTTCACGAGAGTTACTTGCCCCTGAAGCAAGAGAACAGTCCAATTTCTCCCAAGTCTGCGCCCACCCTTTCCTTGTGCCTGACTCCTATGTGCCAACAAGCACTGTGGATGTGAAGTTTGGGATTTATGCATGCCCATTCCTAGGGGCACATCCCTGATTTGCACACACAACTGGCATTGCACATGTGGGGCAAATACCCTTGCAGAAAGCTGGGCCACTCTGTGGGTTGGAGCAAGTCACTTTAATCTCTCATTCTCCCCATCCATAAAATGGGCATAATATTCCATAGCTACCTCCCCAGGGTATGGATTCATTAGTTAATGTTTGTACAGGTCTTTGACCATGTAACACGCTATATAAGTGCCTGGTTGTACTATCAGTTTGTCTCCAGGCAACCATCCTAGCGAGGCTTAACTATACCATACCAAGCAGGCACCAATTGAGGTCATCCTTAATTAATTAAACTAAAAAGTGTATTATGTCCATTACCATCAATTCCCTGTTTGCACATGATGCTCACAGTAGGCATTTAATCCTTCTGTGCTCTGATTTCACCTTCTTCTATATTCCGAGCTGCTCCAGCAAGAACTCTTTCTGAGCGCTAAGAAAAAACTGCTGGTGGCTACTTTATGAGAAACTGGTTTTAGTTACACATTTCTTGCAGCAGTTCTTATTAAAAGAGCACCACAGCAAGATTTCCATGAGGGAATAATACATTATGGGTACCTTAATAAAACGTGGTATGCCATGCCTCAGAGGACTGGAAACAGGAAAACGAGCACAAAAAGAACAAGTCATCTGTAAATTTTCTATACTGTCAAAGAATCTCTGGAAAACTGAATCACATGGTCATTTAAAAAAAACCAGTCAGATAGTCTCAAGCAAAAATTGTGAGGAGCAATGTTTTACTCTTTGTTTGGATCTATGTTCTGTTACCATTTTCAAGTTAAAAGGTCCCAGAGGTCATCTACAGAGCAGGCTTAGGACAGTTTTCAACATGTTTACACTTCCCTCTGCTAGTGAAATCATTCGCCTGCCTTTTGCAGCCTTTCATTCCAACTTTAAAAGTCCAGTACAGAATCTGTGGACCTATCTAGCTGAATTTGCAGGATGTCACAAAAAGATCTGAAGTGCAGGTTGAAGGAGGCGTTTTAATTCAAATCATCTTGTGCAGAGAGAGTAAACCGTGGTGGCGTTCCCAGGATCAGGAGCTTAGAACAAACAGGGTCGTGTTTGGAGAACACTTCTTCTGATCACTGGCAGGATGCAGGGGGGGGGGGCGGTTAAAACTGGAGTGATTTGCCAAAGGAATCAGAGCTGCAGAAAGTAAACACGGCGAGGACCCACACAAACAGCAGGCTGGCGCTCCTCACCCCTCCTTATCTCCCCTAGCTGGATCTCATTACGGACACTGGAAATCCCATCACTTCACTATTTACACCTCATCTTTTACGAGCCAGCCATCCGTGCCCGGCTCCTTTCCCCCTCCCCTGTCTCTGGAGAGAGGTTCTCCCCTGCTCCAGCGTGTTTCCGAGCAAAAGAACGGAGCTGTACGAGGCGGGGGGGAACCCCACAGATCCCCGAAGGCAGGGAAAGCCGGGGGTGGGGGGCAGCCAGGATTTCCCTTCTCCCTGCGCGGGGCGCGGGCAAAGCCCCAAACTGCATCCCACAAACCAGCCAGGAAGGAAGGCAAGCGGGACAGGCGGCTGCCTCCCGGCTCTCCCACATGGGGAGACATCCCACGCCGGGCTGCTACCAGGGGAGCAAGGCGGGTCCCCGCAAGTTAAACCGCCCAGCCCCGGGCAGCGGAAAGTCCCTCGCAGCCCAGCCCAGCCCTGTCCCCTTCAGCAGGGACTTTCCCCCGGACCGGAGCCGGGCCGGGCACTTACTTTCCGGTGGAGCTCGCAGCTGGCGGCGGGGTCCCCGCTGGCGGGGCTCGAGCTCCGGCGTGCTCGGGCCAGCAGGAGGAGGCAGCTTTGCACCAGGCAAGCCCAGGCGAGCTGCACCATCGTCGCTCCGAGCCCGGGGACTGGCGAGCCGCGAGCGTTGGCCGGAGGGGAGCGGAGTCACCCCAATACCAGGCCTCCCAGCCCCTGCCCCCTCCCCTTAAAGGGTCCCCGGGCCGCGCGGGAGGGGGGGCTCGCCATGCCGGGACTGGGGGGGAAAGCGGGGCTCTGCAGCGGCAGCAGCGGGGAGCCCTCCCGAGGGGACCGGCCGCTCCTCTCCTCCCCTGCAGGAGGCTGGGCTCAGCTCTGTAGTTCCTGCGGCAGCCCCTGGATGGAGGCACGAAGTCACCCGCTCCGTGCGATTGGCCGCAGGAGGTGCCTAACCCTAAACTCTCCCCCCACCCTACCCAGGGGGGAGGATACGTCTTCCCGGGGCGCGGGCTGCTCCCAGTCCCCTGCCCGGGAGCCTTCGGAGCAGCCTAGTTCCCCTGCAGCCCGCTCCCCGGGGTCTGCCCCCACGCCGGGCAGGGCAGAGAGGGGACTGGGCTGTGGGTCTAATCACCCCCTCGCTCTCCTCTGGCCTTTTCTCCTTCAGTGCCCAGGGACTTTCGGTTAGGGAGTGAGGCCAGGCACTTCCTCGACGTTGGTGGAGTCAGGCAGCGGTAATAATAAGAAAAGGGGAAAGTAAATTCGTGGATTTTAATGCAAGCCAGAGACAATTTCTGCAGCAAGCCCAGCACTTCTGTGTGAGCTACAGCTTCTCAGGAGGTCTTTTAGTTCTAGGACAAGTAAATCAAACTGAAATGCGAGGAAGGGAAATGACAAGGGAATATGTGAGGGAATAAAAACATATGGAAGTGAAAGCAGCGACAAGTTGGTTTGGATTTGATTTAAATTGACACATGCTGCTGGAGAACTTAGGTCTGGATCCTGCAAAATCTAACGCATGTGCTTAATTTTATGCACCATGAGCAACTTTTATGGACTTCATCTGTCCATGCAGGACTGGGATCTAAACACTAAAATAAATTACACCTGACCTGAGATACAGGTGAGAGTTAGAAGAGTTATAAATTAAAAGTGCAATTCGTTTGCAAAGTGACAGGTTTCAGAGTAACAGCCCTGTTAGTCTGTATTTGCAAAAAGAAAAGGAGTACTTGTGGCTCCTTAGAGACTAACCAATTTATCTCTAAGGTGCCACAAGTACTCCTTTTCGTTTGCAAAGAACATTCTGAGTTACTCAAACCAAAACATAAAGTGCAAATACAGAACACATATTAGAAGGGTTTAACTCTCCCTGTCTTATGCAGCACTGGACAGGGGCTGGGGAAACTGGATGCAATAAAAGACTGACTCTTTTTGCAAAATTTACAGTAATCTTGCAGAGGATGGGAGTGAAACCTCTCCAAAGCTGCGTGTGTTGGCTGCATTAGATGGGCAAGAGAGAGAAACTAAATGCATAAACATCCTTGTGGTGTATTATTCATATGCAGTATAAATTCAAAGAATTAGGATATAAATAAACTTAATGGTGGGACTTGAAATGTTGGCAGCTCAACAGGGAGAAAAAAGGGCCCAAACCACACTTTTAATCTGACAACAGCAAGAAAATTACAAATTAAGGCTGCTCCTAACCCATGCAGTTGAGCTCTGGTACAGGAGCACAGATGGATGCCAAAGAGTGCTATCCAATAACTGTGCTTTTCATTTCTTTAGTGCCTTCTTAATCTGCAGGAGCTCAAAGCACTAGATGCTAACATTAGGCAGTGTGTAGGTTAGAACCCTGAGAGGAACACCTATGGAATTTTGTGGGATTACAGGGGGCTAATTTTTGTTCCGCAACAGCACCCAGCTGCTGTGGTTGTGAGCAGGCATCTTCAAACCACATCCATCCCTTCACATTTCTGAGGCCCACAGATACCCATGATGCAAAATGTTCTTCCCCTCCTGGAAAGTATACCTTTATTATGCAAATGTTGTTTTGCAATTTGCCACCTAGACAAAGACTGTGCCATCGCTGATTTACCAATACATGTACCAGCCAACTTCCAGACATAAGTACCACCCAAAAGGGCATGGGCGATGGAGAGCAATGTGGCTTAGTTAGTGCATTGGACTGCAACTCAGCAGACCTTGTTTTTATTCCTGGCTCTGCTGTTGGCCTGCTGGGTGATCTTGGGCAACTCACTTCACCATGCTGTGCCTCAGTTTCCTCATCTATAAAATGGAGATAATGATATTGATCTCCTTTGTAAAGTGCATTGAGATCTACTAATGAAATGCACTAGATATTATTATTACTGCCAAGTTATCCTCTAATGGCCGAACAGGTCACCTGAACAGGAATTCAGCTAGGACTGACATAAGGGGAGCAGAGAGTTCACTGTGAATTTCCCTACACTCAAAGGTTGGGAGGATTTTATTTTAAATTTAACGTAGAATTTCCTGTTTTCTAATGTTGAAGTTTTTAAACCAAAAATTGTTCTTCCAGCTTTCTCCTTTAAATTACAGGATACTTTTTCAGCTGTAACCTCTCATCAATTTGTTTGTCTGGGAATGTTAAGAAATTTACTATACAATTTTATTGGTTGTTGCTAGTAGGAGTCAAGGACAAAGTGAAGTCCCTAATTCACTGACATAACATTGGGTTTGCAGGTTGTCTGAAGTGGTTTCCATATCAATGGAACCTGATGATTCTTCCATTGTCTTTTCTCCACTCAACCATTTTTGGCTTGGGATACAGCATAAAGGGAGCCTTTACTTTGGACTCACTCTTGCCCTAAAGACTCCAGATCCAGTTATGAAACCAACCTCTGTCATCATTTTGTGATTTAGAAATACTATGCGCACAGATAAGTTATTCCATTGGCCATGACAGTCCAGTCATCTTCATATGAACAATGTGATCCTTACAAAAAGCTTTACATGGAAGAACCTATTGCATTGTTTTAGCTGTCAAAGTTCAACCATATTTGCTATGACACTGATCAAAAGCGATTAAAATCTCAAAATTTCACGTTGTCAGTAATCTCCAGTTAAAAACGTTGCACTAAAGGTAAGAGCCTGTGTGCCAGGCTCCAGCCAAATGTGAATTAAAGTGGCCAAGTTTCATATCCCTCAACAAGCTTAATAATAGGAACTTTCTGCTAATTATATTGGTACTAATGGAGCCGCTATAATTCCTGTACAACAAAACTCTTGTGACTTAAGCAAATAAAGGAGAAATATAAACATATTTATTTAAAGTTTGGACACCAGCTCACTCCACAACATGCCTTAGCATGTGAAACTATTGTAGGGTAGAGGTGATTGTTCTTTTTTCTTGTTTTATTAGAGACCAAAAAAAGCAAAAAGAAACAAGTCTTTTGCAGGAGTAAATCAGTCAAATTGGGAGGGGGCGGGCTTGGCACTCCCCAAAGCTCCATCCACAAACCGAGTTCCACCCTCCAAGACAACAAAATGCAGTGCCATTCTTAGCAGATGGCACAGACCTTCATAATCCCTCACTTCGTTTTTGCATGCACTGATCAGTAATGCATTAACAATTTTGACATTTTAAATGAGCGTTATTAGTCTTTAAAGTTAATGCCCACTTGTGATGAATAGGGGCTGCCACACGTCTCTCACTGCTACCGGGTCTTACTCTGTGGTGCCTTGTGCCTGGCACAGTCATTTACTCTAGTGCAACAGTGGATCTAAAATGCTGCCATTCTGATTCGGCAGCAATTTAAACCTACCTCCCACTGATCTCTATAGCTATACTATGTGCAGGGCAAGGGAGAATCAGACTCCTTGTTTCAGGCTGGCTGGAGACTGAGGCAGACATCACTGTATTAGTAACGCTCTGTTCACATTTTTAAGTTTATCTGCACAATAGTAAGAGACAGAGATTTGGGGTGAAATCCTGACCCAACTGAAGTCAAAGGCAAAACTCCCATGGACTTCAACAGGGTTACAATTTCATCCTTTATTTTTGTAATGAATGCTTAGCTCTTGGAGTACAAGGTGGAGGCCTCCAAAAAAAAAAAAAAAAAAAAAGTACCAGCTCAACAAGCTGCCATAAGCTTGCCCAATTCAGACCTCAAGTTAAGTATGTATTAACTTTTTCAGTTGTAATTTCCTCCTGAGCTTTGTGGAAGCGTGCTCGTGATAAAAAGAACTGTGTGCGTAGGCAATATATAAAATGCATATTACTCTTTCAGCAGATTGTGCTAACCATTAAAAAAAATCAATGTGTTCTTCTGGCAAAGAGCCTTGGTTTTGGCTAGGGATATAATTTACATGCAATATGTAAAGTAATCTCTTCAACAGATCTTATTTTAAAGAACTACTCTTTGGAAGATAACTGGGCATTCATAGGCCTATGAAGAAGAACCAGAGATGTGACATTGGTTAGGCAATTAGGGTTTCAAATACTGTGGCTGTAAACCAATCACTGCTAAGTAAACAGTGTTTCAAACTGATCATCAGCGTTAGCAGCCAGGTGCTAAATACTGTGACAACATTTACCTACCATGGTAGTGACCTTATTAACAATGCCCTCATAGATGATGGGTGGAAGTCAAGTGTTTCGTAAGCCAGCTCCACATCTGATCTACATGACTGGGTTTGGGAGCAACATGACTTTCACATGCCAGATTGATCAAACTGTACATTGCAAGAATGTCTTGTATGGTGCTGTCTTGCTACTGAATTGGTTAGATAGCTTCTTACATGTGAGACATTTTCAGTCAATTGTGAGTATAAAGTAGAAAGATAAAATAACCAACAGTACTTACTGGAGCACATGTAACTCACTGGAACAGATCAAAATGCCACTTGCCATATCATTTGAATGGATGTATATTCCAAAGCAACTGATCCATGGTGAATTGCCTGATGGAAAATAAGATAAGAGGTGTGCAAAGGAAATGTTTTAAAGATACTTTCAAACTGTACAACTGTGTCATATTTCAGTTAAAAGCCAGAGTTTACTGTCATTAATGGAAACACAGAGGGAAAACCAAAGTTGCTAAGGCCCTGTCTATCCAGGGTTTGTTTATTCTTTTTATCCCTGTATAGCAACCTCGATGACTTCAATGGGACTTAAGCATGTGCTTAAGGGCTTTGCTGAACAAGGATGAACTTAAGCACATGCTTAAATACTTTCCTGAATTGGGGCCTGAACTTCCCCCTTAGTGCAAACTGAGACTGTGTCTACACTAGTGTTTTTAACTTGAATTGACTGAGGGTCAGTTACCTCAAGGTTACTAACACTTCTGTGTACTTGCTAGTCTAGACTT